CGTGATTGCACTGCTTCAACTGCCGCACAATTTTTGACCGAGGAAGTAATCCTGAAATATGGCACTCCGAAATGTATTCTTACAGACAATGGCACTCATTTTACAGCAACGATGATGACTGAATTATTTAAGAAAATTGGTATTACACATTTATATTCAACACCTTACCATCCAATGACTAATGGACAAATAGAAAGATTTAATGCTACAATGGATGCTAAAATAGCAGCATTATCAAATGAAAAACGTACGAATTGGGATGAACAATTACCATTTGTTACATTCAACTACAACACTACTATTCACAAAACGACTGGACAAATTCCATTCGAATTAATATATGGTCGTTCGCCAATTTTACCTTTTGATCAACAACAACCATTAGTTACCTTATCACAAGATCCGGAATACAAGTCAAAATTAAATCAATATTTATTAACATTAACTGAACAAACAAAAGTTAAAATATTAGAACAACAACGAAAATATAAAGACCGTTATGATCGATATCGGACCGATCCAACTTATAAAGTCGATGATCTCGTCCTTATTAAAACATTAAACAAGCGAAACAAATTCGACATACGATATGAAGGACCTTTCAAGATTACACAACAAATTGGAAGAAAAACATTTATCGTACAACATATTAAGAAGCATACATTAATACGGCAAGTTACAATAGATGTCCTTATTCCCTTATATGAACGAAAATATATGGATTAGGTATAAGCTGGATTAGTAATATACACTAGATATAGTCACCTCGTAGTTATCGGTGCCGGACGTATACGCATCATCGGCTAATTAGCCTTTGTCTTTCCTGTTCTCTCATTATATATATATTCTTTTTCTTCCTCACACTTCGTTATCATATACATCTTAAGAAAACACTTTTACCTTTTCTTTCTGTTACGATTCACATTTTTTTTCCTTTCTTTCGTCTCTTCAGTATATATACATATATAAGGTCATTTCAATCAACAACATCTTCGGTACAAATTAAATACATAAAAGTTGAATATACATATGAATCTTACACAGATTCATGAAAGCAACAACCATTTTGAGAGGACTTTTACGAGAGTCCTG